TCGATTTTGAAACGCAAATTTCCCTCTGTAGATAAGCCCCTCCAAAACTAAGCCCCTCAAAAAGGGCCTTTGAAAAATATAAGCCCCAGGACTTATTTTCGGAATTTTACAATATAAGAATTGCACCGCTATCGCATGATAGGTTCGAATCCCGGCGCTCGAACCTGAATTTCATTCAGGCTTTTTTTTTCTTTTTTTTCAGAACTACTAGCCAGCTACACAACTTCGATAATATGTCAAGCGCTAAATCTTTCTTCCTCAGCTCAAATCTTATCTGCTAATGAGGCGCTCAGTAGTTATGACCAGCTTTTGTACTCACGGTCAATTCACGCGGGAATGTACCGCACTTTTCCAACTGAACAAATCGACATAATTGACAACACAGTCTCCAGTCTGTACATCAAAGACCATGAAAGGGTAGTTTAAGGACCTGTCAGTACATGGAGGTGGGGGACCCTAGATGGGGTAACCTGCTTAGGTGGGGTAACTCGCCTGTCCATATAATCTCTCCTTTTAAATTGATCACGTTTTTTGAATACGTGATAGGTGGGGTGATCCACCACTTGTTACCTCTCCTATCTGGGGCCTCCCTCCTCCATGTAAACAGGCCCTAAAACTGAAGTAGAACCACCAGCCAAAGGCGAGGGGGAGTGAGCCATATTTAAGCCTTATAGGCTCCTGTTATATTAGTTGAGAATGATTATAAGTTAATATTCTTTTTAGCTGTAAATTTTGAAGGTCGTGTCACTGATCTTTCCTTGAATCCGACCATTTTTAGTGATTTTATAGTACCATCATCTATTAAAGTGTCACCTAAAAACATCATTTCGTTTCTGTCCCGGCCTGCATGCCCGCCGCATGGGATTTAGTTCAGTCTTAAAAAATTAAAGTTTTTTTGAAGAAACTATAGGTGCAAACTAACTAGTTAAGAATAAAAAAAGTCTTACCACCTTGTTTTCAGTTCGACTAAGTTGACGTTTCGAGCGCTATCGACTATGTCGCCAAATGGAAGACACTCGGTACAGGAATTTTGACAATCATGTCGAACCATGACTGCTAGGCAATTTATCAACAACTAAAACTCTTCACATACTGTATCGTATACTTCAGCAGGTGGGATATAATTTGATTAAAAATCAAAGTATTTTTAGTGTAGTTCTTTACTCTTTCCACCTAAGCTGATATATTACAAGAACAGAGTTCGGCTATAATTAAAAGCAAAAATCGGTGCCTTTTCACCTTGTTCCCGGAGTTCAGATAGTGGCGACAGTGCAAAGAGACAGGAGCAGGAATACACAACGGGGGATAGGGAGAGAGGGAGAGTTCAATAATTTCTTTATTTCCGTTTCTCTCCTTTTTTTTTTTCTCCGCTTCCCATTTCGCACCACTCTCCCCTATCGTATCTGCGCGCCTGGAACAGGCTCTTACCTTTTTCATTTAGCCTTTTCATTTGGTTTAAATTTTTCAGGGACTCCTTCCAGACAGAAAACTATCCCTTCAGCCGGACAGCATGTATAATCACATTACACTAGCCACAGGGTTGACTTAAGTGAGATTAAATCTATAACCGCGGAAGTATTTTGTAGTAATCTTTTGCAAATCCTCTTACAAAATAAAGAAAATATTTTTCTACTGATCTCCAAGAATGGTTAATCCACCGGGAAGTTCTCACTGTATATAATAGTGAAAGAAGGTAACATGAGAATGTACGAGCAACACTTGAGGGTAACCTCTGCCCATCGAACTTTGTGGGGGCCTTGAAGTATCGTTTATGCGATAGGCTGTTTCTTATCGTTTTAAGCCCTTGTTGTTGTTGTTGTTGTTACTTTCTTGCTCTATTGTTCCATTATTGTACATTTTAAGCCCGCAGAAGTTGAATAAGTAAATAGTTCGAACAACCTATATCAGTATGACTGATGTTTACTCAAGACATTATATATCACAATTCTTTTTAGTTCAGTTCGTTCCAATACATTTAAACACTCGTTACTTGACTCGAGCCTATTTACACAATCTTTCTAAAAAAAATATTTTGAAAGCAAAAGCAAAGGAGTTTTGGATTAAAGCCGAGGAAAAGCCAGAGGAATTTCTGAAGTCTCTCAACAAAGAATAATGAATTTGTTTTTTCTCATTCATACATATCCAGACACACTTCCTGTATCAGATTTGCCTCGGACCTGGGAAAACTATAAAAGTCATCAAAATCGACAGCGTTTTTTATGATTGTTCAATACGAAAACAGGAAATCTAACAAGAATTGCGTCCCATCAAAAGTCCTTGAGCGCGCGGGAAGCATTGCAAAATATGCGAGGTCAGAGGGTAACAGTGCAATGTTACCCGCCAATTGGCTGCTCGGCGAAATCTACCTTCATAGAATTATACACTGGTAGAAGTCTTAATTTCTTCGTGGGCTATGTAACAAGTCACTTAATTACTGGTCCTTTGAGAAAGTAGTTATCTTTGCTTCCCAAGAATAACAGGCATAATTGAAACAATACCGCTAAACAGTTTCCTGTAGCATCGGTCGGTCGATTTTTGTTTACGTTTTAGGTACTTGTTTTCAACATACGCTATATTTTGATTTTATCGAGTATATTTCGACACGTTGACTCTCTCGTAACGGACAGGACATCTCTATAAGACGGACACCTAAACTATTAGTAGTATTACCCTGCCTTAATAGTTTTTCGTTAGATTCTTGGACAGATTCTTAGTCGGCTCCAATTTAATGTATCCTTTTTGGAGAAAATTGCTGCTATATCAGTCTTTGTTTTTTCTTCAAACATTGTAACGTTAGATACTTGTTTTCAACATATTTTGTTTTAATATACATTTAAGGCCGAAGTGGAATTTCTTAGCTTCAGTTTTTCCCTTTATTTTTTGAGGTCTCTAAACAAAGAAGAATGAAGTTTTCTTTTTTATTCATACTTACCCAGACACACTTCCTATATCAGACGTGTCTTGGGCCTGGGAAAACTATAAAAGTCATCAAAATTGACAGCGTCTAGTGTTTATGATTGTACAATAAGAAAACAGGAAATCTAGCAAGAATTGCTTCCCGCCAAAAGTCCTTGAGAGCGCGGGCAGCGTTGCAAAATATGGGAGGTCAGAGGGTAACAGTCGGCGAAATTTACCTTCATAAAATTATACACTGGTAGAAGTCCTTGTTCGTGGGCTATGTAACAAATCACTTAATTACTGGTCCTTTAAGAAACTAGTTAACTTGGTTTCCCAAGAATAGCAGGCACAATGTTTGAAACAATACTGATAAACAGTTTTCTGTAGCATCATCGGTCATTAAGTGCAAAAAGCTATATCAATTTCTGTTTATGTTTTAGATACTTGTTTACAACAGACACTATACTTTGATTTTATCGAATATATCTCGGCACGTTGATTTTCTCGTAACGGACAGGACATCTCCATGAGACGGACACCTAAACTGTTAGTACTATTACCCTGCCTTAGTAGTTTTTCGTTAGATTCTTTTGTCTGCCCCAAATGTCTCCACCTAGGACCCTGAAATTGACGCTACATCAGTCTTTGTTTTTTCTTTAAACGTTGTAACTTTAGATACTTGTTTTCAACATATTTTGTTTTAATATTTTATCTAGCGTATCTCAATAATTATACAGTTTTGTTTTGTTTCGTGTTTTCATCATGAATGCTGGCACGTACAAGAGAAAAGTCTACCGAATATTTTATTTACCAAAAATCAACATAATAATCGGTAGATAAAAAATGGTAGATAAAACCCTTCACCGTTCTTAGTAATACCCCAGTCACAATAACTAAACATGTTCGATTCAACAAGGATTAAAACTGGGAAATGGTAACTGAAAAGTGGGACACGGCTTTTGGATTCTTTGTATAGTTTAATAACGTGTACGTTCTGTAATTTGCCCTCGGTTTGCAATTGATGAACCTCAGTAAGCAGCAGCTGCGGATTGAAGAAGACAATGTTGAACTGTGTTCAAGTGTTAAAAAAAAATCACACACACAAAAAAACAACAAAAAAAAACATTTAAACTTTGGTGTTAATGAATAAGGCATTAGTTTGGGTGAATATTTCAGAGGACGTCAGTCGAGGAATACCAGAGGAAGAAGAGAACGACAAACGTAATGAAAAGAAGGTTTACAAACTTAAAATTGCATCAAGCTCGAAATATCCAAAATGTAGAAAGATGAATGATAATCCTTCCGAATGACACCCAATACGCTTTAACTAAGGTTTATATGTTGACTCAGTCATTAAATTAATGCCAGGACGTTTGATAGTTCACATGAATTTTGTATCAGTCTTGTATAGCTGACGTGTATACATTTGTCTATTTAGGACTGACTTGAACCTCAAATCATGCTTGTTCCCTTTCACCAGTGACGAAAATAACGCTTAACGTCGATAAAGGGATAAGATACTCTGATGCTTTTAATTATATATTGGGCCCATTTCCAAAAATCGATTGTCTCGTTTAACTTGCTAAGCCGAGCACTAAATACATGTAAGTCAGGTTCGACCATAATCTCATTATACGCGAGTATATCACGACACAACATCTCGCTACATGTGACTGGGGAACCCAAGACAATCATGGATTCTGGATTCCACGTACTGGATTCCGGATTATTTGTCCGTGGAACATGGATTCGGATTTCAATTGTGAGAGAGGTTCCGGAATCCTTGAACTGTATTCCGTGTTCCAAAGCCCAGGATTTCGAATTCCAAGCAAAAATTTCACCGAAATTCCACTGTGAAAAGTACATTCTTGTGTGCAGCTCATTTTGTCGTTAATGTTATTGCCAAAGCCATAATGGGGAAGCGAGTAAATTAGACTATTTCCCCTTCTAGATCAAAATCTTTAGTATGGAGTTTAACATACGCTCACAACTGAAAAAACTCAGTATTTTTATTCTTTGAAATGAACTGACTTGATTCTTTGAAACACATTAACTTGATTCTTTGAAACGAAAGCTAGAAAAGGATCAAGTTTCAAAGAATAGAGGTTTTACTACAAAGAATCAAGTTTTCATAAGAAATTATCATATTTTCGTTTCAAAGAAGTAAATTGTATTAACGTTGAGCTTGATCATTAACACTAGCGCTATCCAATGTTTCAACAACCGGGGCCCAGATCTTTTTACCCTTAAGTATGGTTTCCTGGAGGGATAACGTCGCCCTCAGATTTTCGTGTTTTTAGAACTCGCAGGATTCTTCTCTGTGATCCTTGCCAGCTTTCGTGAAGCTTTATTTATATGTTGCAGTTAACTGGAAAAAAATGGGTTGTGGTCACACCGCATAGCCTTTCCCAGCCGTACGGGTTAAGCTTGGTTCTCATATGCCGCCGATGTGTCTGCGGCGTAGCCGCAGGTACCGACTGGGCTACTTCTCAGACGAATGAGAACATGCACTGCCGGTAACTAGAGCCATCGCAGAGCTTTACCGCCGGTATGCCTGCGAAGTTGAACTCGAGTCAACTTAGCAGGCATGTCGGCGATAAAGACTAAAATGACCAACGTTGCCAGCCACATCTGTTCTCATATCGGAACACGGTATCCCAGGCAGTACCAGCGGTCATGTCGCAGATGCTTTGGCGGCGTGTGAGAACCAGGCTTTAGTTTATTAACTTGGTCTAAACAAAAAGCCATGCTTTGTTACACACGGAATCATTGTTTTAATGAACTCTCACAAGAGTGACTAAAATCTAGAGACACTGAGATCTTAATCACCATTGTACTGTGACTGAACGTCAACTTAATTTTGCAGATTAACATGCTAACTGATACAAAATCAAGAATTACGTTCAGGAGTGACGCGCTTGTTCTGGCTCTCTTGTATTTCACAGTAACACAGTCGAAACTGCCTCTGAATGCCACTTCTCTACTTCTTTCAACCCCGTGGATACATTCAAAGTTGTTTTAATCTTTCCAAAACGTCTCTTCTGCCCCCAGTTGGCCGTTCTGGTCAGCTAGGTTCGACCATTACCAGTTTTTTCGGGGAACTCGAATTGTGTGGTTGACTATATGTACCACAAAAGTTCTCTCTATATCAACCTTCCACTGATAAATTGCCTTGGTGTGAAGAAGTATATATTTCGTTTAAAGTAAGCTCGGCTCATGAGACGAAACTACAGATGCAGTTTTACCTAACCTTTGGCCTGTGTCGTGGCTGGCAGGATCAACGATCGGGAGCGCGTTTTAGCCGAAGTGCCGCTGCGAGGAATTTATGCCATTCTTCAACAAAAGCACCTGTAAAATTAATCACGGAGTAGCTCCCAACAAATGCCACCAGCTACGCAGACTTTCTAGCCCAAGAGTAGCTCTACACCGAGGCTATTTAAACTGAGTGTTCGTACCCTGAAGAGAATAAGAGGATATATTGGTACGAGCAATTGGTTGGAGTCTGTTCAGGCGGCACTGTCAAATGTAGTAGTCTCCTTTCATCTAGCTCACAATCAAAGTTCCCTCCAGTTTGATGTCAAAAGTTGTCTTTTCCTTCAAAGAATGCTTTGGCATAGAGCTGGCGGCATTGAAAAATTGGTCTCAAGATGGGAGATTCAAAGTTTGCTGCCATTCTTCTTCTCGTATTGATCTCAAGTTATTTACAGTTCTTTGTACAGAATAATTCATATGACCTTGGTTTGGAAAAGTAACCGGTGAACAAGTCAGTTGTGGGTCTATCACACTGTCATTTCTCGATGTTTGGAATATCCCCTTGAGATGATTAATCTAAAATCGGGTGTCACTTAAGTTTTCGTTTAGAGCTTAGAGTTGTTTGATGCGCAGAGGCTTGGTTGTCTGGAAGGAAGCCACTCAATCTCTAGCTTCGTTTGGTCTCTGTCATTTTGGTGGTGAATATGATGGTAATGTTGTTGATTTGTTTGTTTTTCTTGCTGAGAGTCCACGTTTTCAGTTGAACAGTTTTTGTCTTCGTTTGCTGCAGTGTACTTAGATTCCAAGTCATCACCACCGCTCCATGACTGTTTATCGCCTGTACAAGAAACCACGTTTTTCTGGTTGCCTTGCTGTTCGTCAGGAATTTCCTGTGAGTCCTTTTCTTGATTTACGATGAAGCGAGGAGATTTAAACGGTGTCACCTCAATCTTTTTTACACGTTGCTCATGTCCACTATTTGGGAGTTCTGTTGTGTTTTGCTTAGTTTCGCTAGTGGTCTCGTCGTTGCCCTGTACATACTCATCTGCTGAACTTTGCTGGCAGCCAATCATGTCCTTTTCACTTTCCTCCTTTTTGCCTGCAGTACTTAGCGGGGTAAAATCCGAACAATTTTTTTCACTTTTCTGCTGGACTCCTCCGTTGAGTCGAGGAGACTCAATCTTGCCTTCACCGTCTTCTTGATCTGCAGTAATTGGCTGTTGAAAGGTTATACTTTTCCTCTTGCATAGATGATTCCCGTTGCTGTTGTTGTTCCGTTCGTCATCAGTCAAACTGGGTTTGCAAGCATGCGCGTTTTCATCCTTGGTTTCTTTCTTATGAATGCTTTCTTGAGGAGATACTAAACTAGGTCTCATTGTCAAGGCAGGTCTTTTGTCACTGAGAGATTTAGACCTTCTGCGTTCAGAGGAAGAGCTGGAGCGGGTGGACTTTGTTGAAGACAAGCTGAACAATCTTTTCATTCGGTTAGATGCACGGTGTGCGTTTCGTTTGACCTGAAAAAAGATAGGAGTTGTTAATTGCCCAACATCCTATGACAAAGTCAAGTTGATAATCTACAAGAAAAGGGCCTCTGGCATCGCCGACGGAATTAAAAGTGTGATTCAAATTAAGCTAAAATCTAAAATGCCTCAATTGCTAATGACATGCATAAACAAGGTCGTTATTAAGGATGGTTGAGTAGTCCCCTATTTTGCGCTTACCGTTACGGGCAGCCATTTTTGGTTTCAACTGTACCCAGAGGAGGTCCCCCAAAGTAGATTTCATACTTTTCCCCAGGCTAGACTCGGTACATTTGAAACCATGACCGCCCATAATGGTAAGCACCTGCCTCCTACTTAAGCGCTTCGTTTTTCGCACAGCTAGAGGCGAGCACAAAACACGAGTGACCGGTGACGAAGCGCAAGAGACCGTGATCCCGACGATGTTACGGAAGAGGTACCATGGACAGTCTAACAATATTTCGGTTTGTTTTTGGAACAGCTGGTATTAGCTATAGTCACTTTACATTTATCGAGACTATACATATGTACTCACATCATCGTCAAAGAAGTACTGGGCGATCAAGAAATACACTCCCTGTGAAAAAAAATAAAGAAAGTAAAGAACGAAACAAAACGATGAACACTGCAAATACTAAGATACGCCAAAAAAGGATAACCAGACACTAAAAATTAAGTTCTACGAGATCAGTGAACTTTTTCATAGAGGGGGAAATCTGAGCACCAATTTAGGCACTTACGATAAACAGGCATTTGAGAGGAAATTTGTGTTAATTTAAGTTGGTCAATTGACTTGCTCAATCTCCCTCCCCGAGCTCTCACCCTCTACTCTGGTTTCAGACAAACTAAATAAAAGGGAACAGAACCCGAAATGCATTCTGCAATTGTTCCTAGGATCGTTACTGGGGACGCGCGGGTCAGCTATTGGTCAATTTTTTTCCCGCCATTTTCCTTTTCATTTCTTAAAAGGCGAATTATAACATAAAGCTTACCTGCATAGAGTTGATAACAGCAAAGAGATACTGAAACACTGGCGACTTCTCATGAATAGATATAAATCCGAGAAGCCATGTCACACCTAACAAAGGCATTAGAATCACCGCTGTCTTAAACGCCGCCCTGAGAATAGAACACATTGCATTGACCAACTGATTCTTCACATTGTAAAGTAGCAGAGGGATTGGGCAAAAAGTTGCGTGAAAAGCATGCGAGTTCTTTCGTTCGAACTAATTAAAAAGCCTTGTTTCCATATGATTTTCCCGTTTGTCTTAAATTTATGGGACGATAACAACTGACAGTTGTTTTCCATCACTGACTGTTTTTAACGCCTGAACACATCCCCGGGGGTACCCCAAAAATGGCCGATACAGAAAGGCTTCACCCGAAAGGGGGAACCTATTTCAGCCTTGGGTAAATAAAAGGGTAAACATTCTCTCTTGCTAATTGAGGTATATGAAAGGATAGGAAAATGTGTCATTTCGGTCTGTGAAAAAGTCCACAAAAAGTTCTGGTTTTGTGATTTTTTGCATATTTCAAAGCCAGTGCATTTAGTAAGTATACGATAGGGGAACCTTTCCGGTCAAAATTGGTATGAAAGGGTAAGGAGCTTGACTGGGAACACATTTTTAGACAACTCGAGCGATAGAGGGCTAGACGATCAGGACAAATGTGAAGAAACTAGGCATAATAACACTAGGATATGCAGTACATTTATAGCCTGAGAAAACAGACGACATTTTGCGACGCCACCAACGGTTTCCCCGCGAAATGACGTCTGAAAACGAGCGCAGAAATTCCATACTGATGACGCGTCACTACCCACATCTGGGTAGTTTTTCTGAATGGTCACAAGGCGTGGGAAATTTGCGTCAACCAATCAGAAGCACTACCCAGATCTAGGTAGTGACACGTCATCAGTATGGAATTTCTGCGCTCTTTTCTCAGACGTCATTTCGCGGAGAAACCGTTGGTTGCGTCGCAAAACGTCGTCTGTTTTCTTAGGCTAGGATATTTAAGATTATAATAAGTAAAGAAGGCCGGTTTTGAAGTGAAAAAAAAAGCGATAGCCGCATATAGCCCATCCTCGAAGACCCATGGAAGTAGTCAGTCTGGTCGGTGGAAAAAAAGAATATTTTCTTAGCCTCTAAAACCCCTGCATTATCCCTCGCAGTCCCTTGCACTTGACAAGACTTAACTTGGCTTCATATTAAGTATATCGATTTCAACAGATCCGTCAAAAATAAGCAGATACCAGTGGGGGCTAAACATAAATGCCTACCTTATTTCAACTTGAAAGCTTGATGCTGTATTTTTTTCGTTCGGTTTAGCTTTGTAACGAGCCCTCCGTACAACAATCCTTATTGCCATCACGAGAACGACTAAGTTCACCTGCATGTGGATTCAATACACATAAATGATTACAATGTTGAAGTTCGGCGACCGTTCGCCAGTTTAGTTACGCGACAAGGAATTTGGTCAGAGTAAACTTTAGGAAAGACTTCTGGGACGGTCACTAGGCACAAGGGAAAAAAATTGACCAATAGCTGACCAGCGCGACCCCAGCAACGATCCCAGAAACAATTGCGGGGCACATGTCGGCTCCAGTTCCTTCTCCTCTCTTAGGTGGCGGGTTGATGCAGCATAGTCTTTTTTACGCAATTTTGCTAATCAGGCTTTAGCGTCCACGCGATGCGATTCTGGAAATCATAGCGCTGTAGACAGTTTTTTACTTGAGCAAACATGTACATCACCAAGGAATTGCGCGATATACACGGGAATTTTTGCGACCACACGTCGGTAAATTTGAAAGCTCGTTATTTTCTTTGAAGCTCTATACCTTCTTTTGTTAGGTGAGAAACAGTCAACACCGTACTTGGAAATGCAACGTTTTCAGAAAGACGGTTGAGTTTACGAGTTAGCTTTCATATTGCTTTTGAAGAAAAGATATTTATGAATCATATGCTGCTGTTTTCAGGTCTGTAGCTGTTTGGGAAGAACGACTAAAACAGCAACGTAAAATATCTACAGAGTCTCGTACTGTGCGCAAAGGATAATACAGCACACGGTCATTGCCAGTAACGATACCAAGACGAGAACTCTAAGTGCGACCGACTTAAATGTCTCAATTGAGTTTTTCTTAATTTATTTTTATATACTAGAGTAATTTATGCTTTTCCCATTTTCTCGATAACGGTTAGAAGTCGTACTTGTTTGGGTTGAATTTACTACTCACAGCAAGAACGCACGCCACAGGTCCAGCAAACGCCCAGATTAATCCATGAGAAAGCCAGCAACTGTGAATTGAATAGAAATTTATATGTCTTACAAAGACTTTAATAACTACCCTTCTTATTATTCATTCAAAATATTTCGCCGTTTTTGATTGGCTCAAAGGCCCCGGCTAATTCTTCATAACCAACCGGCGTTGACCAAATTTGGCAGATTCTAGCAATATACCATTAATTCGATGGTAAACTGGCTTGGAAGCGAGGTAGATCGATGGTATATTTGCCCGGAAACGAGGCAACATGGGCAATAGATCAGCGCCTCGGTGAATAACAGACTCCTCGATCTGCATAATTCTTCACTTCGTTATCAGCCTCATTCGATAGAGAACTTTAGATTCGAGGACGAAGACCACTACGAGTACGAGATTTTCTCAATACTAAGTAATGCGCGCGCGTAAGCCAGGGTCATTTTGGCGGGACAACGTGATCGGGTGTTACAGTTGAAAAATTTTACAGTGGAAGCTCTCGTAACGGACAGTTAGTGGACAGCTCTTCTTACGGCCACCTTCACAAAACACCGTTTTTCTCAACACCCATACAAACTCTGTATTTCCACATTCCTGTAAGAGGTCAGTTCCAGTCACGGACACTTTTTTTGCGTTCCGAGGGTGTCCGCTTACGAGCTGAGCTCCCACTGTACTAGAGACATACCAAATTAAAGTGAAACAATTAATTTAACTTACAAATTCTCTCGGAGGAACTGATGGCGAAAAATACTTGATATCACTGCCACAACAATCACTGGAAGCCCTAAAAAGATATCAAAGCACGAGTCATTTATACATCAAATCAGGACGTAGCCCGAATAATTATATAGTCGTCTCTCCCACAAAACGTCTCAATGGGCGAGGAACTAGGAGAAACAGCTGTGTTTGCTAGCTAAATAAGGAAGCTTCTAGTGTCAATTTAATCTCGTACACTCCATTGCTACTCACTGACCACCATACAGTGACTTATCCAAAGGTTACTCCACATCCAACCCAGGCGGGTAAGGATCCCTTTCACACAATACACGACAATAAGAGACAACTCGCCGCGTGAAAGGCAATCCAAGACAGTCTTGGATTCCGGATTCCTTAGAGAGCAAGGGTGGCGCAGTGATGAGAGCTCTCGCCTCCCACCAAAGTGGCCCGGGTTCGAATCCTGGCCTCGACGCCATATGTGGGTTGAGTTTGTTGTTGGTTCTCTCCCTTGCTCCGAGATTTTTTTCTCCAGGTACTCTGGTTTTTCCCCTCTCCTTTTAAAAAACCAACACTTTCAAATTCCAGTTTGATCTGGAACACACGGACACGTTTCAGCGAGTTCTCATGAACTCCTAAGTGCTCCGTGGTTAGACAAATTACAATTTTACAGTTTGGATTTCGGATTCTTTGTAATTAGAATTTGGATCCCTGATTCCAATCTCTAGCCGTATTCCGGAATCCTTAAGCTAAATTCCGGATTCCAAAGCCTTGACTTTACAAGCAAAAAAAAACAGTTTCCGGAAAGCGGATATTTCCTTATTTCCTTACGTGGGGCGAGACAACCTCAAAAACACACTTCCGAGATTGCGGTTACTTCGTCTGTATATTTGCCAGTAAACGATTCATCAGTGGAGTGGTAATCCTGCAGACCTGTCGGTCGGTCCGATTTTTCTATCTCAGTGTCCGTCAATTAGACAACCCCATTCTCCGGACAGTCCGAAAACAGGGGGCAGAGTAGTTGCGTTTGACATTGATTTCAGTTTTTTCGAGGTGCGACTGTAGCTGTTCAGACAAACGTGACTGATAATAATCTCATGCGATCGTCTTTCAAGTCAGGCCGGATTGTGGTCAGATGGCGTTGAAAGTGGTTGTCTGGGTAGGAACGATTGCCACTCGAAGGGTGATGTTGTCGGAAGGAAAAAGATACGATCAGTTTCGTTTGAAACTTGCGAAAATTGTGTTAAACACAGCTCCTTTGCCCCCTGTGGCGCAATATATTTGCGAGTCTGTAGGGTAGTCTGAGTCGATGATGTGGTGTCGTCAAGATTGTTGACAGTGAGTAGCCTGTGTACAACCCCCCCTTCCGTCAAAGAGAACCAGGGAAGAGGCGGCCAGCTGTACACAGGCTAAAAGTAAGAGGTCAGTCGCCCCCTCTAAGGGAATACAATACAGTTTTGGATTCTGGATTCCACATCGGGATTCCTGATTCCACGTACAGTCAAACCCCACTTTACGGACACCTCATAACGTCAACTCCCTTCTTAGCGGAAAGGGTAGGGACCTTGAGTTAGTGTCCTCATTAGCGAGAGTCTGTAATAGCGGGAGTTTTCTTTAGTCAAACGTTTGTAAATTATTTTTGCTTGGGATCTAGCTGTTGTCATTATAATCGGAGTGTCCGTTATAGCGGAGTTGACTGCATTACGGATTGACAGTTTGCTTTGTCCCTGGGAAAAGAAAGCCCTTACATTTTCTCTAAATTCAACCTGCTTAATACAGATACACCGTTAATACGGACACTTTCTATGGAAACCTTAGTGTCCGTATTTACGGGGTTTCACTGTACTGGACATTGAGTGGAACTTGGATTCTGGATTCTAATCGTCTGATGGATTCCGAATTCTTTAAACTGTATTTCGGATTCCAAAGCCCAGGATTACAAGATTCCACGAACAAAATTTACCCGGATTCCGGATTTCACAAGCAAACATTTTCTTGATTCCGGAATTCGAATTCCCTTATACATTGGGAGAGGTCACCTACCAATCGGGAGCAGAAAAAGTAAAAGAATGAGACTCACCCCAGGCGAAGAGGTAGTAAGTTTTCAACCGGCTGGTAACTCGGAAGACTTTTACCAATCCACGTAAGAGATTAATGCCCTCCACCAACATCCAACAAAAAGATGCCAGTTGAAAATAAAACAGCAAGACGGCGACGGCAAAACAAACTCCCTGTTAAAACATTTGGAGAAGTAACATCACCCTTGGCCTCCATGCAATAATGACAAAAGGACCACAAGGGATAGAATATTGACTAAAATTGTCAAACAAGATTTTAGTAATTTAGAATAAATTTTTCACGGTGCTATAATAACTAACGAAGAAGTGAACTTCGAGTAGGTACGTGCTTACGCACGTCGGCCTTCAAACCTAGTCTGCGTGTGGCTATACCTAGAGCTGGAAGGCTTATATAACGTTCTAGTGTAATGGGCGCAAAAATCTTTGGGAAAGCGTGTATTTTAAAGAAACGACAGCCATAGCGATTATCTTGAACGACAAGGGTAATCTCCTCACGATTATGACAAGACTATGACAAGATTTGCGCATGCGCAAGTTCGTGACTTACTAGCATTTCTTCCAGAGGGCTGTTTCTCAAACATTTCGTCAACTTTCTAGACCCGGGGCCATGTTTTAAACAAACTTTAACACTAGGGCGGGTCTAGCCCATAAAATAGACCAATATATTCCATTGACTTATGTTTATGGCGTTCCTTACAATCTTTAATGTCAATTACTGAATGCATTAAATAACCTTGCGGGCGCGGACGTTACAACAGGACGTTTTAGAAATGCATCCTAAGTTAGGTACGTGCTCTTGGCACTTAAAATGGGGCAAACATTAAGCAAAATTTTGGATAATCATAAGAGTGTTTTTAACTGGTGAAAAACAACTGGTAGGCGGGTACGTTTAAAATAATTTGGTGATGGCAGGAGGGAAAGATATAGCCTGCAGGCAAACTCTCCTGGGGTTCTCGGGGGTACGGGGGTGGGGGAGGGAAGAGATTAGGGTTAGGTCCCTCCTTTTTCGACTCGCCGCCTGAGCGCTCCGGGAGAGCTTGCTCGCAGGCTAGGAAAGTTATAAATTAAAATGTGAGGGGAATAATTTTAAAGTAGACAAAGAAAAGATAATACGCTACTTTTTCAAAAGACTGCAAGCAGTCTCTAGTTTTCCTTCAGATTTTAATAGTGAGGGGAGAGCACGTGCACGCGAGCGTCGAGTGGTGAAGCCGCTCGCGCGTTTTGCTCGACGGACCAAGAAAAAAGAGAGACTGCTCGTGGTCTACTTTTTCAAGGTGCTCCTTAGCCCGTTAGTGGACTGACTGGTTTATCTGTATACCCTTTCTACATTTGGTTGGTATTATCAATTTCACCCCTTTCCAACAAAACACCCTAATTCCCCCTTGGGAGTAGCTCAAGCTGTAGTTCCCGTTATTTAAGAAAATATCCACAGCTATAGCTATCACCTTAGGGAACTACATGTTATTGAATGATGAAGTTCAAAGTGAAGAAGCGTGTTTATACCTTGATACCATTGGCAGCGTAGGCAATAAGAAAGAAAAAAATGGCCAAAGCTTCAGCTACAGCGAGATGCATATGGATAGACGTGGTTTCTGTCCGTCTCCTGTGTGTGAAAAATTGACCAATATCATCTATTACCAGTTTGTTTTTACTTAACAGTAATTATGCATTTTTACAATAACGGGTATCTACCAGATGGCATCATAATTAATTGTAACATTCTAGTCCTCTGTCCTGGCATTGCATGCGTTAGCAACTAGAATAATCAGGGTGTAACGAAAATAGCCTGCGTAGCAGGCGGTTTGTTTGACGAGCGGGGAAAAAACCTTACGAAAGCACACGCGAACGAACCGCGAAGCCGAGCCCCATTTTCCTCGCGGCTTCGCCGCTGATTTGAGCGCTCGATAAACAGGAAAGGCCTGGTAAGCAAGATATCACGGAAAGGTTGTGGGGACCTTATCATTTGTGTTAATAAATTAACGCCAATTTGTATTACCTGAGGAAGTAAAATGTACAAAGCAAAATGATGTAGCAAACGAATGCTATCAGACATCCCACAATCGAGACAGTGGATAAAACAAACTTATCCTTCTCGGAAATGGCATCAGATTCCTGTGGGGGCCAACAAAAGAGACGGAGAACAAAATGTGAGGTTTACTGTGCGCCCCTCAATTTTTAAAATGCCCCTATGCTTTAAAGAATTATTTCAGAGTATGGAGGTTACTGCGGTAAAGTGACACAGAAGTTTCGTGGATAGCTTTTTTCTTCAGCGATTAAATCTTTTCAATCTGACAGCCTGGTACTGTAACCCTTTTCAGGAGGACGAGCTAAATATTTCATCAAACTCAATATGTAGAAATATTTGTAAAAAGCCAATAAACTCTCTCTGTTACAAAGACATTCAAATTAAGAGAGTTTGGGTTTAGAATAAGGTATTATTTTCCAGGAAACTGATCAGTTGGTTGAAATTTCTAGTCTAAAGCTAGGAAACCGAACACTGTCGCTTGGAAAAATGAAATCGTTTGAATTTACCTGTAACTCAGTTTAATAGCAAAGAAAGCGCTGATAGGTGGAAAATAGCGACTCTAGGATAAGCAGGCCATTAGGAGTTTAGTCTATAGCGTAGGGAAGCGGAATTCAGATATACTAGGTCTGGTATCGGCTAAGGTTTCCAGAGTACCAGCTACACATCCCAACCCTAAAACTCCTAAAGTTCCCCCTCCCGCGCTTCTCAGGACATACACCCTAATAGAGAAATACATGTAAATTTAAACTAACAAATGCTCCGTGTACATCCATTAGAACGGCATAACTGGTCATGTGATAACAGTGACACTCAGTATAGGTGAGGTCCTGGCGATAAACAACACATCCAGAAGAGGACCAGGAACTGTCAAAAACAGAGGAAAAGAAATCAAGTTTGTCTTCTCGGTATATACTTTATGGCTCACGCAACACAGTGTTGAGAAGGAGCATTGCTTGACGACCAAAATGGCTGCGTTGTAATGGATATGTGCAATGTTTTACTCACAAAAGCTTCTTGAGTACATAACATGCATGCGTGTGTAGTTCTTTCATAAACGGTATTTACTTTGTGCTCCTGAAAAGTATGGACGTTCTCTCCTCGGAATTGTAATGATGACTGAAACGAGACGATCATAAAGACGATTTTTGTTAACAAGTAACACTTACTCATTAGTTGTATCCAGAAACGCACAGAACCTCTGAGACTCAGCATCAGCCTAATTAAAACAATGGGTTTCAACTTTGGTGTTCATTAGCTTTAACCAAAGCAACAAAGGCAGCAGAGGCAGAAGCAAAAACTCCTGCTTCTCACAGAGCCAGGAGGGAGGGGGGGGGGGGGGGTAACTTAAAAAAGTTTTTTCGGGGGGGACCGCCCCCCCGGCCCAAACGGCCAGAAAAGGTTCCTTTTTGCGATGCCTTCCATACAAAAAAACCACTTTTTTTTATACACACTTATTAGTCCTAAATGACAAAAAAAAAACTTCTTTATTCTGTTTTCCTCTAGTATTTCAAAATTAAAATACACTTCGTAAACAAAATAATATTTTTTTCATTCTGCATACACAACAAAAAACAAGAAAAAAACAAGAAGAAAGGAAGAAGACAAACACACCACTCGGCGAGGGGGGGGGGGGGGGGGGGGGGGGGGGGGGGGGGGGGTTACGTAACAAAGTTTTATTCGGGGAGACTCGACGCTCAGCCCAACATGACAGCAAAGGTATCCTTTTGGCATGCCTTCCAATCAAAAATAGCACTTTTTTGTATACACACTTGATAAGACTAAATGGCTAAAACAAAACGTCTTTATGTCATTTTCGTCTAGTATTTAATAACTAGAAATGACATTGCCATAAGGCAAGCCTTCTTGAAACAGCTATCCAATTTAAGCTACTTAAATTAAAATATAGATTTTCCGATCCTTCGATAAGATCGTAAATTTCTTACCCTTTGATATACCTGACGAATTACTAATGTACCCCTTTGTGGCGGAGTCCCATGCAGTATAGGTAATTATTGGGAGTAACAACCCCCTCCCCCCCACTTTTCACATAGTTATTGATCTATTTACAGTCATACCAGGACAATAGGTATGCTGATTTTTGAGGGTATGCGACGTCAATCGTTACCAGAGTAGGTGGGAGGAGCGAAACTTTTATTCAGTGTTGTCAAGAGAGAATTCTAAAGTCGCCATTACGATATTCTGCATTGCTTGCTTTGAGGTAGTCGCGCGTGGTCTTGACGACGTTTCAAATAATCGATCAAAATGTGCGGACGTATCAGGAAGCAGACTTTCTCTAAAAATAACTTTGATAGAATTCACGTATCCCGACCAACGCCCTAAGATTGGCGCTCTTACTTTTCTCTCAAACCTTCATCATCTCAATGTCAAAGTGCCCTTAAATTAGTAGTCCATCATTAGTTAACCTAGTGAGGATATTCTTTCTTCAAGTCAGTAAATTATCCATCTTTAAGGTACCTGTCTTTAACGCTACTATTAGAAGTGGCTGTTTACCTCATTATCCGCCGAGAGTCTGATGATAACAGGCTCGCTCAAATTGTCGAACTTGCTTCCATTACTGAACAGAATAGTGCTTGCAATAATCCCTGAGATCAATACTCTGTTAAATCAGGACAAAAAAAAATTATTATGACGATGTTATGTCCATCACCAGAAACTAAGCTATTCATTAATTAGTAGATATTGTGTGTGTGGTTTAGATTGATATTTTGAGAGAGAGAGGTTGGTTTTGCTACCAGCTAATTTGACTTTTGCCACCGAAAAATCCATGGAGTAGTGCCTCTTATTTTTTGGATACCCTTTGGAGAACACTTGCTACTAAGTCGCGAATAGTAGTTTAAGAAACTTTCACCTTTGGAGATCCTTAACTGTTACCGCAGTACCTCTCGTAATGACGTTCATTCGAAATTTTAACGATACCAATTAATCCTCACATTTTCCCGCCTGATAGGTTTCTGAGTACAGTCTTCTCATTTGAAAAGAGGAGCATCCACATACACACGCGCGTGGGCAGAGCTTAAACTGTAGATAAAACAAAAATAATTTTGCTTGCGCACCGTTTGGTTTGAGGATCCGCTGTTGCGCTGACAGTGGGAAGAAGAACGTGGGTAACGGAAACTCCATCTAAAGCAACAAACGAATATCAAGTTAAACAAGACTTAACACATCTATGTAATTCATAAAAAGTGCAATAACGATTTGAATGATTAGAAACTTCTGGAATATTTTTTCGTGTATTTGCAGTCATATAGTTCAAAGACGCTTAGTTTGATAATCGTAATGTGAAACGAGATCTTGTACCTTGTTAAAAAGATCAAACTTTCCTGGACCGAACGTTAACATATCGGCGGGATTTCTCTATACCCTAATTACGTCTTGGGGATGACCACACCCAGGGGACTGATTGAACGATGTCAAACCGGTCTAAAGCTAGTATGTGGTACAAGAAACTCTGAGATTTGAACCGTGTCTTCCTTACAACGCCATTCTTAGAATCTGAACTTATTTTGCACCATGATCCTTAGGTCGATATTGTTGTACACCTTCCTGAAATATGGAATCTACTGTCAGAGACGTCCTGTTTTTCTTTTCGGGGTAAGTAAGTGAGGTTTCTCCCTTGATCGACCTCACTCTCAAGGGAGCAACAAATATAAATGCAAAACAGCTTCTCTCAGTGTTTTATAAAGTAAGTGTACAGTGATCACCTGAGCTCTGTGCTTTCCATATCAAAGAAGCAGGCAGTTTAATTTTGTTGGTTTCTGTGTCGTCTAGTGGGAACGACACGGACATCGTACTATTTTCAGCAGAGGCGGAAGGTACAACATCGATTCCAAGAGCTACGACATCAAAGTACAATTAGTCGTCATGACTACTTCTGTCAATGAGGGGATGAGGCATTTCGAAGCTTGAGATGCGTGTGTGGGTAGGTGAACAAAGGTTGATGACATAGGAAATTATTTGTGACTTGGCTTTGCCCTTCATAACCTGTTCTACTTCAAAAGGTGTAATACAGTCGAAACTCCCGTAAGAGACCGCCAAAATGCTACCTCGGACTTCGCAGGCACTTAAACGCGCAAAGAAACACGGGAATGCATATGGCCTTGAGAAGGTGGGGTGTCCGCTACCTTGCTCTTCCCAAGGTGCCCTGCGCGCTTCGAAACTTCTTTCCCAAGGTTTGCCTTGCACCCGAGGACTAAAAGGGTAGTTGTTTGTTAGCGTTAGCCGCGTATGGCTGTATTTTATAACATCCCTTGACAGCTGTGTGCATAAGGAGTGGAATACTTACCAAGAGCGTTCGTTGTTATTTGAATGCTCTTTGGCTCTGTGATATTTCCTCCTCTCTTCAATCCGCTGACTATCAACTCACCAATCTTCTCACCCATTTTAACTGCTTCTCCCAGGTCAGCTGGGGACTGCAATGCGAAGAAAATAAAAATCGTGGAAATAAATCGTAATAAAAGTGACTCGTGCTTTTAATGATTAGAAGTCAAGTTAAGTTGTCGTTATTGTGGCAGGTGATCTTTATAGAAGACCCTCAGATTCGAGGACGACTACGAGGAAGAGATTTAACTAAAAGTTTTTAAACCTAAAATATACACCCCGAAAAATTTAATTGCGCTATTTTTCAGCAGAAAAGTTAGCACTTTTTTGAAGGAGGTTAAGCTCCTTCCCGATTACAAAAAAAGAAAGAACTCTAGCATTCGAAAACCGTCACTGCGACAGTTTTTGCTAAAACCCGTAGTAGAATGCGACGGCTATCACGTTTTCCCGCCAAAATGAAGCTGGTTCACGCGCGCATATTATTTAGAATCAAGATAATCTCGTTTTCGTTCTCTTTTCTTAGCTAGAATCTGAAGGTCTCCATTATTTCACATCTGAAAGCTAACACGTACCAATGACTTTCCACCAGTTGACCAGGAACCTAGTGCGCTGTCCAGATCTTCACCTAGCTCCTAAAAACAAAAATATTATCAACACTTATAGCCAAAAGGGTTGAAGGGACGTTTCTCTTGAGATTAGTGCACGCCCAGATCGTAGTTCACAATTTCCGAGACAAATTCAGGCCCCCATTCACAATCCGAAGTTATATGGCTTCAGCTACGGAGTGATTAAGAAACGAGCTAACAAGTCGGTTAATGATTGCCATCAGTAAGAAATATCATTTCGCTTAATGACAGTATCTTACTCGTTACTCTTTTAAGCAGGTTCTTCGGTAAAGATCACGAAACATAACACGAATGCAAACAATCGACACGCAAGGCAAAATGGGAAGGTGAAACGGCTGATCCGACAGCTAAGGGTTGATAGTTTACAAATTTATTTGCCCAATGTTTCGACTAAACAAAACTAGTCTTCATCAGGGGCCAGAAGAGCTTTGCGAGCTGCTTATGAAGACTAGTCTTGTCTAATCGAAATATTGAGAAAATAAAGTTGTAAATTATCAACCCTTAGCTGTCCGATCAGCCGTGCCTTCAGTTTTAAGTGTTATTTTGTATTGCTGATCCTGATCTTCAGCAAGATCCGGCCTTCCCTCTCTTCTGTTTGTCCAAGTGGTTCTTGCAAGAATTGTTTGCTAATGGGAAGGTGAAGACTAAGAAACGAGTCCCTTTTGGACCTTTCCCTAAGAATGACATGAATGTCCTAGGTAGCAGTGTGGAGATTAAAGTAGTTTTATGACTATGGAGACTGTAATATTAGGTTTTTATAGAAAGGAGCCTTGTTTTTATTATCTTGGTTGCCGGATAAACCATTTACCGTAAACATATGTTTATATTCATCTTCATCAATATGTCATTCACATTTTTAGAATGCGGGCAGTGAAAACTTTCCTTAGCTTTTCCTACTTGCAACCTTGTGTTAGTAAAAGAGTTATTACGAGATGGTGTGTTTTATGTTACCAGGGCGTAGAAGGAAAACGTCAATCTTAAAACAAAATGTTGTCTTTACCAATCTCGGTCCCAGGACTTAAGAAAAAGGCCCTGGACCTTCATACCTTCATGTATTTCTCAGCAGATGAATCATTCAATGTTGCTCCCTCAAGTGCAGCGAGTCGCTCATTCAGCTTGTTGAACGCTTGGTTCGTAGGATCGTCAGTTGAGGAAATCTTTTTCAAAGAAATAATAATAAAGGATAATCACAATCAGAAAGCAAAAGATAGAAACGACAGACAAAACACGGTTGTTTGTCTTTTTGTTTTGGTCAATTTTGCTAAGATTATTTTCGCAAAAATCTTACATTTTGAAATAATTAATAAACCTTACTTTCTTGTTATTACATTTCATTTTCAAGGAGTGGCACACTAGCACGCTTGTCTGTCTTTTTTGTCAAAAATGCAAATAATATTTTAAAGTCGAAAACAACATTTTGAAATAACGAGATACTCACCAATATCATAGCCGTCGTAGGACTGGGGATAGAAGTTGTCATAGGACTGGTAGGGGTAGAAGTTAAAGGACTGATATTAGTACTGGTAGTTCCTGGCCGCGTCTCGACAGTTATTTTAGCTGAGAGAGAAAAAATAATCAAAAATTTTCTCATGAGGGTGGTATACCTCCCCTGTCCTAGAAGGTACTATGTACACAGTAGGCCACTTCCGAGTTCCAAAAATCCTCACTTTTAAAATGAGCTGGGCCAAGTGCACAACCTTTCTTGTAAAAATGAGTTTTATTTGTATGAGAATGAAATCATTTTCATATCAAAGGCTGAGTTCTTAACCTCGTTTTGATACAGAGGCCCGAGGGAACTCGGAAATGGCCTATTCATAAAGGAAACTCATTTATAGTCAGAGGTTTTACTTTGCCAGTGGTTCGCGAACTAAACTAGCTACTACAACGAGAGATCATGTTTCAATCATCAGAGAGTGTCAATCATTAACTATCTAAACCAATGAACGGTATAAGTAGTGTTAACGCATTCATTTTTGAGATAGGAGCTCTCAGGCCGGTGAAAAAGAGGCGCCTAGGCGAGTACAAGAGACAAACGTACGGAACAAAGCTTCTCCTGAGAGATAAGAGGTATAAGAGAAGATTAAGCAGATTCTGGGTCAGATAAATTAAGCTCAATCCATCACTGTTCATTGGACCTATTTCCAAAACGGCTGCAGTATGCGATTATAAACGCGAACACAAACTCACTGGGATGTGACTTTCTTCGGTTCCGGTCCCGTTCTTCAAAGAGAAACCTTAAGGGTGGGGCTATCGATTTGTAATACTTGTATAAGTTATTTGCTCATTACCTGTTGTTGTTGTTGATGTTGTTGTGGTCGTTGTCGTTGTTGTTATTGTTTGTTGTTGTTGCTGCTGCTGTGGTTGTTGCTGTTTGCAGATGAAGAGTCGTTTCACTCCACACCAAGTTTCGACCATCCATTGATGAGTGTCATTGTAAAAAGCGCATTTCTGGGGCTGCCCGCTTGCAGGGAGCGGTGGTTCTTCTCCCTGGAACCAGTTTGTGTAGTTGTAAGGTTCTTTGCGCACCCACTTCCAGGCAATGTTGTTGGTTGTTGTCCGCAGTCCAATGTAAAATGATTCGCTTTTACGAAGGTGTGTTGCATTGATGAGATAATCTAGAAAATTATCTTCTTTTTGGCTAAGTACACTTGTCAAGTCCGAATAGTTCTGCTTCTGACACCATTGTCTTGCTTTCCAAAACGAAAGTTTTTGAGTAGTGTGGTTGTACGCGTAGTAACACGAAGTTCCATGTCTTACCCAACCGTTTAAACAGGCCACTGAAAACAGCAGCAGTACTCAAGTCAGTACTATTTTACGATTTCGTTATCAGCTAGTTTGCCAAGTAATGCAGCCTTTTGATTCTTTGGGGTACTCAAAACAATCTGAAGATTCGTACGTGGTAGTGCCTGCGTATCCTAGCTGCGTAGTTCTGCTTATGATGTTTACTAATGTTTTTATTACTGGAAATTTTTAAGGCTCAGAAATTCGGCATCGGATTTTTTGAGAATTTATTTTTGGGCCAGAGGTTTTTGGGGGGTTTTGTCAGAACCCCTAGGGATTTTTTGGGTTTTGATTTTTGCCCCCAATCAATCATCTCCGTCACTAGAAATCCGGAGTACCCCACCGGGCATTAGGTTCGGTCCGGATCTAGCGATGACGAGAGATCTCTCCCACTGAAACGTAAGGCAAGTGTAAACGACAAAAGCGACAGAAAGGCTTGGGCAGAAACAAGTCAGTATCGAATCCAGACGAAGTCTGTTTCTTCCTATTTATGTTTTGTAATGCATCCCAGCCAGGACGGTACTCAAAAAAAGAACTCTGGCGAAAGGATGCGAGATTGTTTGCACTACTTTGTTTTTGAATTTGCGAGACCGGAGAAAAAACAATAAATGTTACAAATCGGAAAAAGTACAAGCGTTTACTCGCTGAGAAGCAGACAAATATACTGGTACGAAATCGAATATTTATTAGTTCCGTTCCAGAAGAAGACCATTTATAGGAACCTATCGCCCTTTTTTGAAACAGGTAAAGTCGTCTACACATAAAATTTGATCCGAGTCGTTCTTCTTTTAAAATCTTTATCCGTCAGCTTTTCGATTTTTATATTTGGCGCTCTTGTAAACGGGCCTTAAAAATATTGATACCATACCTTCAACGATAAGGTGTCAGTGCATATTAAGGGACTATGTTAACGCTCCGTTATTTGGCATTAAACCTGTAAAATTAGTTGTGAATGACAAAGTTATTGCTTCATCTCAAGTATCATATCAAAGTTACAAACAACAAGACTGAACTTTGAAAAACTTTTAGGCTGCCAAGTTTTCAAAAATCACGATTGCAATCCGTTTCCATCTTTTTCAAATTTGTCCATCCTTGAAGACTTCACTAATCAATTGGCTGGTTTCTAAGTCGAGTAAAAATAGTTTAAGAAAGAGTGTTTTGTCCTAAAACAAAGCACGGTGACGATGTCCTTATATACACCTCGCTGGATGGCCGGAGGGAGAAAATATCGAAGTGAAAGTTTCTTACCCCATCAAGTGAACAACTCGACAGCGAAGGAACCAGAGAATCGAACCTCCCAATAAATTTATGTACAAAGAGGATCGATAGATCTTCATTTCTAGTTTGGTCCGAATCCAGGTCTTCATTGTTCTTTAAGATTTGCTTTCAATTTTAAGACTGATGCGAACAGCACGAGGCTATGTTTTCATAATTACATAGCAGCACGAGGTTAACAAAACTTTTACAGACAACACATCAGAAACATAATTTTTTAATTTATATAGTTAACGTCAACTAAGTAGTTTAAGCTATCGACCTCCTGTACGTGAGTTTCGAACGCAATTAAAGGTCTTTTATAAGTGCTTGCTTATTCTAGAACCTGCTTGTTGTAGAAACTAGTAGTATGCAAACCTAAAATTATGGAGATGTCCTCCTTAGTCTTCTTTTGTATTTCGTTGGTGTTTAGATGGCTATAAATTCTTGCTTTTGATGAACTAAAATATCACGCCAAACCCTATTTTTCGTTGTAGTGCGAAGAGGGCTCAAGTAAGAAACAGTTTAAAATATCAATATCACCTGGGCCGTATAAAATCGAACAACCAGTTGGCATTGCCTTAGGCTACGGCGACTCTACTGTCTATTCACTGAAACATTCCGACAGTATTTAGTTAAAACAATTGATTTCAGGAATTAATTAAATGTTCTTCTGTTGAATTTGGTATCTTTCCGGTCGTGAAACGAATCGATTGCCATAAACGAACAGTCGAGTAAAGACATTTCATGCCAATGAACGAGTCGAAACAATAAAAACACTCAAATCACCCAAAAAATATCGTGTAAGATCGACCAACCTAGTTTCCTCCTGAGTAGCAAGCTTGTACGAGCTCAGACTACAGGCCGTCAGATCGTCGGTTTAATGTGAATCAGTTTGATTAGGGTCGAACTTAAGTTCGTAGCGGTCCTGTAATCACCTGTAAAATTGCTTTATTAAAGACCTGTCACATGGAAGAGGATCATATTTCAGGAGCTTTATATAACTGGGAGTAATAAACGACAACCGATCACTGTCTAATCAACTTTAGGGATATGGATCCATAAACTCCTGACAACAATTGCCATAGGTTTAGTCTACAAACGGCCGGTTAATAAAAAGAATATGTCGAGCCACGGACGGGCGTTTTCACTTACATAATTATGACTGAGATTGATATGTTAACTGATTCTTACCGTTAACAAAAATTATTTTTGGGTGACATGGGAAACGTTTATGAAGGTTCGCAATAAATTGTTAATTTTTAACCTAGTTTGTTTAACAACTACAAAATTTTTCGTTAATTTATTTTCGGAGTCGTAGAGGAATAAGAATGATGTTGTCCTCAGAAACGCTAACTTGGAAAATTAAGTTCAGTAGCTTCAACTTTTCAAAGAGTTTGGAATGTTACCAGATTTTTGAATTCAACAATTTTAAGATTTTCTTCAGTTCGGTTGTCGCTATTGATTATTGTTGTCTTTAAACTCTAATGTTTGATCTTTTGACGCTGAGTATGAGAGTTAAATGACAGCTACTACTATTTCCACTGATGTACTTGCCCAGTCCTGTCAACCATGATTATATATTAAGTCTAGTAGCTTCTTTTACAAGCCTTTAAATGTGCACAATAATAAGCGTTAAAAATTGAACTTTGCTCGTAGAAAGTTATCTCTAACTTCAGGCTGAAGGCTTTCAAGCTTAGCAATTTTGTGATGAATGATAACGGAATTCCACAGGAGACAATTCTCTGCAAATGGACCACACTAAATCGAACACAAAAATTCAAAACTTACCATCCTCGCAGAAGGACAGCTGAAAACCTAGCAACAACCCAAGCCACACTGTTACCACACTAACAATGCTTTGCAAGATACTTTTCACCATGACACCAAAAGCTAGTGAACTGGTAGAAAAATAATTTTTCTTTTAAAATTTCTGATTCCTTTCTTGTCTCCTTTACAAACAGTTTGAACCCTAGGGGTCGTAACAAGCAGCATAAATTATCAGCTAATTTAATTCGACACAGCAGCTCTTTCATTTGCCTTAAAACTTTAAATAATAAATGGACTGAAAAATCAAAATTCTGGCACGGTTTGCCCTAAAGCGGTTACAAAATCCTTAAGTTTTAAACATTTTATTCCTGGCTAATTCACCTAGTGGATTATTATACTCACAATTTATTCAATTATCATCTTTTAGCAGCTTTAGCCATTAGATCATCCACATTGTGGTCACGAGGAATTATCTAGACTTCACGGTGGGGTTCTAACTTTGTCACAGTCAGTGCGTTTTTAGTGTTTTGAGGGCAAAACAGAGAAGTAATCTCGAAAGCACAGGGAGTCTGAAAAATTAATATTAAACCTCAGTTTTCAAACTTTTAAACTTTTTTTTTCTTTTTAACGAAGCTTTGTTCCAGCGGCCAAAGTAGCTTAGTTTTGTACGATCGAAAAATAGGCCATTTTTGGCATTTCGTTGTTCCAGATCTCTATGCAAAAGATCTACCTGACATTGAACACCATTCTCTGTTTAACATAAGCAGAACATGTGCTCAGATTAGAAATATATTTTTCTCTTCAAGTTGTAAACCATGCAAGAAAATTACGATGACACTATTGTCTCATTACTTTTGACGAATGACGTTTCTCCTGAGTGGGAATCATGGCGGAAAAAAAATGCGCATGCGAAAAGGGTTCGCGAGACATCATGTGCTCCCTCCGATGTATCTACGCAGACGACGATCGAATAGTATCCCATGATGCATTTTTGCAGAAGCATCACGCAATATCGCGGTCATAGCAGATTTTATCGTGAAATAAGGTTGTTCTCGTCGGCTTTTTTCTCATTTGTGTTCCAGTAAAAGTAAGAAAATTGTGTTATTTTGTTATTTGACATGATTTCTCCGGTTTGCAACGGCTTAAGAGCGAAGTTTCCACATAGAAACATTTAAAATTATTGTTGCACTTAGTCTTCGCATCACAAAGTGTTCAGTGACCCACAACAAGGTCATAAATTTTCACGATTTTTTGGATTATATGATGAAGTCTTCCAAATGTGGACCTCAAGTCAGCAAAATGAAGTCCTGAATATTGTACAGGCTAAGAGGTACCCAGAAGTACCTACATTTTGAAGACTTTTTTATCGACAAAAGATGGCTGAAATTGTATCTTTAATCACATCTCAACGCTATGTGTGATAATATATACACGTGTAAAGTCAGCTGAAGGCTACAATCTGTTGGGTGCTTTCAAGAGCACTTTATGCCGAAGCAATCACTTTGTATTTCCAAATTGGTTATTTTTAAAAAGAATTTGACTATAAAGATTTTAATTATAACAAGGAGCGGTGAACAATACCGTGTGTTTCAGTGAGATAGGATATCTATGGGAACTGTCCACGTGAAATACATGTCTGAATTGTTTTTTTAGGTAGTTTATTTGTAAACTAATAACTAAATGGAGCCCCGCAAGCAATCCGCACTGAACTACGTTAGACAACCAGTAAGTCAGACAAGTATAGTTACACCCCGGGAGGGAGGGGGGAAGAGGGGGGTGTTCCCGTACAAAACTTTGTTGAGAGGTCGCCAACCCCCTAGCCCCCCCCCCCCCCCCCCCCCCCCCCCCTTTTTTCGCGGCCCTCCCCCAAACACGTTTTTTTTTTTTTTTACCGGGGGGTGTTCTTTTTTATTTTATTTATTTGTTTTTTTTTTCTACCCTAATAAAAGTTGGACGAGGGGGGCGGAAGGGGGAGGGGTAGGGATCGAGGGGTGGCGGGCCATCAGAACAGAAAAATATGCTTATTTTTTGTCTCTTTTTTTTTTTTTTTTTTTTTTTTTGATTTTCATTGAAACTCTGCGGAGGAGAGAAAGCCTTCTTAATTAAAATGCTTAGTTTGCCTAAGAAACATTAGAATTATGATTTGTTTAGGTTCACTACTGGGTGAGTGAGCATTTCTAGTCATGGCTTGCACTGTACCTTCATGCGCATCCACCAAGGAATCGACAAATTATGCACGTCTGTGTCGTCTTCTGGTGGATGTGGGAACCCAGGCGTTAAGAGACAGGTTCGACAGCATTCACTCGCCAGCAGGACTACATGGAATTCTGACAAGTCCTCCAGCATACGATACGCTAAAGGCACTTAGGAAGAAACGAATCCTCAATCCTTCGCAATGGGGGAAGCTTTATCCCACAATTCCTTCAGGGTTATCAACAGCAAAATTTGATATAACGCTTCTGATGTTGCTGCTAAGGAACATTTGTGGCTTGACTCCTCCAGCCACTGGTTGGAATGACCTCCCACCTGTTACAGATACGAGTATTGAAGCCAACCTTGCTAGAGTGAAGTATTATAGAAACAATGTCTATGCACATGCCAGCCAAGCTTCTACGGACGACGCCACATTTAATTCCTGTTGGCAAGATATAAGTAACGCACTGATAGGACTTGGTGCAGATGCATCTGTTATTAGTAAGCTTAAAACTGAGAACATGGATCCAGACATGGAAGAATACTATCAAGATTTATTGAGGGAGTGGAAGAAGGACGATGATAGCATCAAGGAAAAAATTGACGCGGGGGTCGAAGGTATGTTGGAATTTAATAAGGAATGGAGGACGACAAAAAAGATGGTTTTCATCACACGGTTACCTGTAAGTTGCTACCACATAGGACTGTACCTGTTTCCTGTTTACACAATAAACGTAAAATATTGAAAAAAGGCTCTATATAATTTCTACAACATAAGCGTTTTATGTTATAGCTTTCGTGAGTCCGAGAGACTGGTTTTGTTAAGGACGTACTAATTAATATTTTTGTGGAATAGCTCACTCTAACAACTCTGCGGTGACACATATATGACGCACTCCTTCCAGAACGCTATAATCTCTATACTCACCTGAGTAAACATACTTATTAGAAATACAGAAGAAATGGCTCTTTTATTCTCCATGATATTGAAAAAATACCACCTCCCCCCGCCCCCCCCTTTGGGTTTTTTTTTTGTAAACTAAAAAACAAAGGGGGGCCCCAAAGAAACCCGCACCGAACTACGTTAGACAACCAGTAAGTCAAAAAAGGATAGTTACCCCCCGGGGGGGGGGGGGGAAGGGGGGGGGTGTTCCCGTACAAAACTTTTTTGGGAGGTCGCCAACCCCCTAGCCCCCCCCCCCCCCCCACCGCCCCCACCCTTTTAGCTCGGGCCTTTCCATCAAACGTTTATTATAGTTTTGGACACTGGGGTATTTCAAGTTGATAATCTTTGAGGATTTTAGTCCTCCACCTCAAGATTGTCTAATGATTTTTGTAAACACTACATTTGTCACTGGATAATGAGTCACGTTAGGTGACAAGCCTTATTTGGTCAGTGATTTCCCGTATGAAGGAATTGGCGTCTGTTCGTTCAGCTGAACGTTGGGTGATCATTGTTTCCTCATCATGTCACTGAACTAAATGGCAGTAAACATGTTTCCTAAACCTAACTCTTTTTTCGAGTGCGGTCAACAAATTTTATTTTCCCATTTGTAAGGTAAGGAAGTATGAAGATACCTCGCGTGACTTTTCAGCTTGCCTTATGCCATTTTACGAATTATTATTTATTCATGAGCCACCTATCACTTGATTTTTGTTGCAGTTTCACAGTTCACGATTCAAGCTTCTTTTGCGATTTAACAACCAGGAGGGTGTTGATTATACTACCGTACCCAGAACGTGAGTAATCTGTTCGCGGGTTTAGCCGCTGAACCGAAAGCAACAAATAATGAAAAATGCAAATAACTTGTTGCTTCGCTTCGGTCAGACGATCAATAATCGGCCTTAAAATCTATACAATACTTTGTTTGCGGTTATTTTGTTCCTTAGATTATATTTTAATTTCTTTTATGCAATCAAGAAGTCAGTCATTTGCATCTGAGATGTCAGAGATATTAGCAATTTTGCTATCAACAAATTCGAAGTTAAATAAAGTCTTTGATTGATTGATTGATCTGAAATACATCTTTAGCTGATAAAGTCAGTAATGTATGCTAACAAGTTCAAGTCAAGTTGCAAACCGAAAGCCATGAATTATGTTGAATAAGAGTGCATACTAGCTAAACTCAGGATTCCTATTAGTGTAAAAATCTTTAACTGCATTTTACTTTCATCCTGAGGGCGTCCTTTACATTGCTTTCTCCCAAGCAATCGCGTACCCCTTAATTTCCGGGTCAATTCTGTACTGAGCAAAACTTTCATAAAACGAAACACATCCGGTTTTCCGAGAATATCTGCGTAGAAAGCTTGTGTTTTCCAGGAAAACTGGCCTGCGGACTGAAGATAATATCCGCTCTCTTACCGCAAGTTAAGAATTGTCTACCTATGTCAATGAAGGGAATGCATGATTTTGATCAGCATTTTTCACTTGTTTCAGCCGTTTGCGCTCTCCTCCGTTGTAGAAAGGCCGGGGAGAGGGGGAGAAAGAAGGAGACGATGCGAAGTGAAATTTTAAATTCATGCTTTTGGGAGTTCCGTTCATACGGAACCACCTTAGCTGTTCAAAGTCCCGTGTGAGCGGGGCGAAAATATTGAACAGTCCCGTGTGAAAGAAGTGTCCCATTAAATTTTTCAGCCAGTCGAAAGTTAGTTCCTTGTCGTGTGAACGTAACCTTCCCTTTCCCATCGTCCTTTGCGCGCTTCCTTTTTTTTTTTTTTTTTTTTTTTTTTTTTTTTGAAATTTTGGGGGGGGGGGAAAGCTTTTTTATTTAAAATGCTTTGTTTGCCTAAAAAAAATTAGAATTTAGATTTTTTTTGTTTCACTTCTGGGGGGGTGGGCATTTGTTTTTTTGGTTTGCATTTTCCCTTCTGGCGCTCCCCCCTCGGAACTCCCAAAAGCATGAAT